CCACATTAAAAAGAAAAAAACAACCATGAACCAGAAAAGTATATTTGCCCAGATTATAACACAGTTGAACCATCAAATTAGTTTATCAAGAGATATACAGGCGCAGCTAGGTGGCACAGTGGATAGAGCACCAGCCCTGAAGTCAAGAGGACCTGAGTTCAAATCCAGCTGCAGACCAAACACTTGATACTTACTAGCTCTGTGACCCTGGGCAAGTCACTTAACCCCAATTGCCAAAAGAGAGAGAGAGAGAGAGATATCTGTGTGTGTATATATACACACACACACATATATATAGACATATGTATGTAACGCTTCTCTCTATATATGTATATATCTGTATCACTATATATATGTGTATGTGTGTGTATATATATATATATATATATATATATATATATATATATATAGAGAGAGAGAGAGAGAGAGAGAGAGAGAGAGAGAGAGAGAGAGACCAATTTGATGGGCTTCCCATTCAACTGTGTCATAATCTGAACAAATAACTCTTTTCAGTTCATGGTATATATATATATATAAGATTTATATATATATATAAATATATATATATAAGATTTATGTATCTAATATATATTTTATATGTGTGTGTATATATATATAAGATTTATGTATCTAATATATATTTTATATATGTGTGTGTGTGTGTATATATATATATATATATATATATACATATATATAAAACATCTATCTCATTATCATTATCAATGTGTACAAACCGGGAAAGTACACTACTAAGGTAAGTGATCTTGTCAGCAGCATTTAAACTTCTCCATTTCCTGTAACCTATGGTTCCATGTATGGATGGTGTGGTGGTGGCTGAAGGAGCAACTGTGTTTTCTTGGTGTTAATTGTTAGGCCAAAATTAGCACAAGCAGCAGAGAATCGATCCATACTTTGTCGCATCTCAGCTTCAGAGGCTGCATTGAGTGCACAATCATCTGCAAACAGAAAATCATGCACCAACACTCCCTCCACTGTGGTCTTGGTTTGCAGTCTTTTCAGGCTGAAGAATTTACCATCAGTGCGGTAACTGACCTCGATGCCATGTTCATCCTCACTGAAAGCATTTGACAACATGGCTGAAAACATCATGTTAAAAAGCATGGGATCAAGCACACAGCCTTGTTTCACTCCATTGGTGACTGGGAAAGCACGAAAGCATTGTCCATTATCCAGAACCTGGGTAAGCATGCTGTCATGAAATTGACATACAGTGTTTGGGAGGCTCCAAAGGAAAGAATGAGAGAGAAGAAGTATTAGACTGACTAGCAAACTGAAGGTCTACAGAGCTATTGTGCTGACCTTATTGCTGTATGCCTGTGAAACCTGGACAATATACCAGCACCATGCCAAGAAACTGAATCACTTCCATTTCAATTGTCTTAGGAAGATTCTGAAGATCACCTGGCAAGATAAGATACCAGACACTGAGGTCCTTTCTTGAATTAAACTGCCAAGCAGTCAAACTCTACTTCAGAGAGCAACTCTGATGGGCTGGCCCCATTGTTCGAGTATAAAACATCTGCTTGCCAAAAAGACAAAACAGTTTATGGAAAACTCAAGGTAAGCATTCACATGGTGGTCAGAAGAAGTGGATACAAGGATACTCTCAAGGTCTCTCTTAAGAACTCTGGAATTGATTGTGTGACATGGGAGCCAGGGGCACAGGATTGTTCAGCATGGCGTGCCTACAGCAGAGAAGGTGCTGTGCTCCATGAACAAAGCAGAACTGAGGTAGCTCAAGAGAAGCGCAAGATGCACAAATTTAGAGAGTCCACCCCGAGTGTTCACATGACTATTTGTGCCTACCTACGGTAGAACATTCCAAGCTCATATTGGTCTGATCAGCCACAGTCAGACACACTGAAACTTGACTCTAGCATAGCGATGTCATTTTGGTCCTCTTCTAGAACAAAGGAGAACAACCAACCAATGTCTATCTCTCTATCTACAATATTGGATAAGCATTACCAACAACAGATAATGAGCCGGCTACAGAATCAAGGATGAGAGTAAGCTGAACACCATTTGGGAAACCAGACAGTACTTTCAACCATTCCAGGCTAATGACCATCTAATTGCCTATCTCTTCAGCACCAATGTTCTCTCGGTAATAATGCTAGACAGCTGACAATCCTGTTGGTGTTCCTGTTAGCCCCACTCCCTCCTGGAGGTTTTGACTGAGGAAAACAGAAAAATAAGGCCATGGGGAGGGAAGACAAATATATACAGGGGTACATTTTCCCACACGTCTGAATTCTCTTGCCCTTTGCCCTCATAGAGATGTCCTACCATGAGATTCAATATATAAGAGGGGGGAAAAAAGGATTGATAGCCACACCAAATACAAAGATGTGTACCTGTTGGTCTCGTTAATCCCTGACAAACAGGCTCTTCCAGCAGTGCTCACTCAGTCTGACCCTTTCAGTGCAGTTGCTGCTGTAGCAATTACCAAAGCCTCAAACCGCTATGTCTAGGACTGTCAAGGCTAAGATTCAGGCTTTGAACAGAGATGCAAGCTGCCTCCTGGAATGGGAGTCATCCTAGCCAAGATGAATCAGGTCTGGAGCAGAGACATATTCTGAGTCACCAGGACTACCATCTTTTGAGAGTGGTACCAACTGGTGAGTCAGAGGGAGGACAGACCCTCCTATCATGTTTCTTAGCTCTGTTAACATAGGGGCCTGCTCAAAAGAAAAGGTCAGCAATACGCAACTTTTTTTCTGTATTCCTTTCACTACCTGGAGAAAGTAGAAAGGTTAAGAAGATATTGAGCTGAACATTCCACAGGATAGCTCTCAACAGGTATCTTTATTCGTTTTCTTTGCACAACAAAATGATATAGCCACAGTGTGAATTGCCTGTATGATAATGATAAATATCACCTGTGAATAACAAAGGGAGATTCTAAACTAGAGGGAAGAAGGCTCCAGTGCAGACATGAGAAGATTTCCCTATTTTACTCCTTTGGGAATATATTCTACATTGTACAACTAGCATTATATTGAACCTAGGCAAGTTAGGGTCTTCCTCACTGGTTAATTAAACTGGTTAATTAAAGTGAAAGCAGGGAAGCAAACTGGGTGAAGTCCCTCATCCAGTACTTTAAGTATCACCTAAGAAAACTCACTAAGTACCTGCTATTATATTGAAAAACCTCTCTGTCTCTTTCTCTCTCTCTCTCTCTCTCTCTCTCTCTCTCTCTCTCTCTCTCTCTCTCTCTCTCTCTCTCTCTCACACACACACACACACACACACACACACACACACACACACACACATTTTACTTACTGCACATAACCCAAACACAAGTGGAATAGTGCATGGTACTTTAGGCAAGTTGCAAGCTTACTACCAACTGGGATATAAATGCAAGGAGCAATGTCAGGACCAGGGATGTTTTAGAGTCTGCTCCTACTGGCTTTCAAGAGCTGATTGTCACATTTTCAGTGTGAGACTCCACATTTTAGAAAGTGGCAAAAACTACAAATCAAGGCTTGATGTATTATTTTATTGAAGTGCCTAGACTTAGAAAAGTGATGGAGAAAATGTTAATAATGCAGATTAAACTAAAAAGTATATCTTGTGAACATTTTACTTTAGAGAGCAAGTTAAGCATTTACTAGCACACTCCTGGTGAGGACTAGAAAAAAAAATGAGCCAGTCACATACAATGGGAATGACAAGCAGCAGATAGCCTGAATAATACACCAATCCACCCCAAAATTCTAAGAAAATAAGAAAAAAGGTCTACAATGGATTCAGTAAGATCTTCTATGAACATTTATAGGAATTATGGACCAGAACAATACAGTGGCAAAGCATGGAAGGATTATGACTTGTGGTATTGAAGGAAGTATTCAACCCAAGGAATCATCAATTCTTCAAAATATAAAAATGAGGTGAAACCTATTCAGTTTCATTCATTTTAGTTTAGATCAATAATGCTATAGCATAGTCAAATTTAAAATTGAACTATCATCATAGCATAAAAAAACTTCACACAAATCTAGAAAAGAAAGAGAACAAAAGTGATGAATAGTTCATTAGTGGCACTTTAAATGAGTTGGAATATGTGTGTGTGTGTGTGTGAGTGTATACACACACACATACATTTTAAACTGTAAACTAGAAGCAAAAAAACAGAAACATCAACCAAAACATTCTCTACTTGTCACTCAAGTCTATGATGCTGAAGATGTCATACCCTTCTTGAAATTTTAGTTGAGCAAAACTGAATCATCCACTTCCCCTAAATAACATTTTAAGAAATTAGAACTAGACAATTTTGGAATTACAAAGTATATAGATATTATCTAATCCAACTCAGTGAGTGGAGTGGGGTGTTAGAAATGTCAACTAGCATTTTGATAGTGATAGAATTTGGAAAATTTTCTTAAAATAATGTCTAAGACAAGCTGGGAATTATCCAAAGCACCTAGCCTCTGCTACTTCCTTGAAATGGGACTGGATGGTCAAGCACCGGTTTAGGGATGTTGATTATATGAGAACTTCAGAGGTTCTATTTGTTCATTTTAGAACCAGCAGAGAAACAAGCACCCAGTACCTAGGCAGCCACCCAAGTACTTAAATAGCTGATTATTAGAAAAGGCTGAACTTAGATTTTTACCAGTCTGGAAAGGAAATCAGCAAACACCTTCTCCCTTTCCTCAATGCAGATTAAGCTTTGCAAGATCAGTCTGGTGCAGGAAAGAAACACATCAACTATACTGGTGTTAGGTGAGCATAAGCCATGTAACCCATGTATGTCCCAGGCTCCCTGAGTAAGAAAGGTACTGGTTTGAACAGCTGGAGACTTTGGAGGAGATGAGAACGGGAGAAATGAAATGTCCCCAAAATGGGAAGGTTTAGAAATGTGCAAAGAACCTGGGAAAGGGAGAGATAACATGGATCACAGAGGGTTACAGTAGGCAAAGGACGTAGCTGGGGACGGGAATCAGAGGAAACAAAAAGGAGGAATGTTAGAAAGAAGAAACGGGAGGACGGGAGGCAAGAGACAAGGAAGGGGCACGAGACGAAGCACCCGGGATGCAGGCAGTTGGTACAGCGGACCCTCGGGAAGGGGTGTGGCTACTGAGGGGGCGGGGCAAGGCCAGGGGCGGGGCCGGGATGCCGGTGGAGCCAGGGATCTATGGCTGCTCCACGGTCCTAGACTTTCCAAGCCAGTCACTCACTGGGGTGTGCCGGGGCAGACAGAGGCCAGAGCAGCAGCAGGGCAGCAAGAAAGACGGCGGGCTTCAGAGGCATCTTCCAGAGCAATAGCCATGCGAAGGGAAACTCCAGGGGACTTCGAGCCCGAGCCCTGGCACCTTAGGGCGGAGGCGGGAGAGGAAACAACAGAGGTCCCAGCGACCATGGAAGCCCACGCTGCGGGCCCCACTGCAGGTGGGTGCTCCACGCCGGGCTCGCTGCCGGGCGTGCTTTCCTGACTGATGCCTTCCGCGTTTTCCTTAGCCAAGTTACTTGCAATTGTCTTATCATCTCCACCCTTCCCTGGCCTCCCTCCTTGTGGATTAAATTTTGCAAGATCAGATTAGTGCAGGAAAGAAATGTGTCCACTGTACTGGTTTTGAGTGAACATAAACCATAAACTATTTATGTTTAATAATGGCTTTAATAAAGGCTTGTTTAATAATGAAAGTGCTTATATATGTGTATGTGTGTGCATGTGTATACACATATATACACACATTTTGCTGTTGCTGGGTCGTTCTTCAGTCACGTCTGTGACTCCGTTTGGGATTTTCTTGGCAAAGATACTGGAGTGGTTTGCCATTTCCTTCACCTTATTTTACAGATGAGGAAACTGAGGCAAACAGGGTTAAAGTGACTTGCCCAGGGTCACACAGCTAAGTGTCTGAGGGCAAATTTGAAACTGGGCCTTCCTGACTCCAGGCTTGGTGCTCTACCTGCTGTGCCCCCTCTCTGCCTACATACGCTCATATGAACGTATATATGTATATATAATAGCAAGTATATGAGTATGTTTCTATATAACCTATTATATACAGGCATTTATGATGTTTATTAATAATTATGTGTTTATATAATTATAAATAATTATATATGTGTATTACAATAAATATTTTTGAAGTAGAATGTGGTACAATGGAAAGAGCACTGATTCTGGAGTCAGAGGACAGGGGTTCAAATCTTGCCTCCCATACTTACTACCTCTATGATCTTGGCCCAAATCACTTAACCTTCAGTTTTTCATCTCTAAAATGAAAGAACTATGCAGATAGTAAAACAGCGGTTGACTCATTGCAGGCACCAACCTTCTAATAGTGTCTCAGGTTCATAATCTTGGCATTATCCTCGATTCCCCACTCTCCTTCACCCCATAAGTCCAGTCAGTTGCCAAATCTTGCCATTTCTACCTTTATCACTCACATTTGAACCCTCCTCTCCATTTCACACAGATACCCTCTTATTCTGGGCCCTCATCACCTCTCCCCTACATTATTGCCTCACTGTGGCCCTGCCTTAAGCTTCTCACCGCTCTGGTACACTCTGGGCACTGCTGCCAAAGTAACTTGCCTTCTACATAGATCTGACCTTGTAGATCCCCTACTCAGCTAGCTCCAGTTGCTTCTCATTACCTCTAATGGTAGAGTATAAATTCTCCCAATTAGCTTTTAAAGCCCTTACAACCCGGCCCCAAACTATCTTTCCACTCCCACGTTAGCTTGGGATCTAGACAAATTGGCACTCTGTTCCTCACACAGGACACTCCATCTCACATTTCTATTCCTTTGCAATGGTATTTCCCCACTATTAGAATGCACTCTCTCCTTACTTCTGCCTCACAGAATCCTTCCTGTCCTTTAAAATGCAGCATAGGCACCATCTTCTGCCTGAAACCTTTACTGATTCCCCCAACTGCTAGTGTTCTCCTTCCTCTCAATCTACCTTGTATTTAACTACATTGTGTATATGTACATATTATTAACTATATTTATGCTGCATTTATTTTTTTCTGTACTTGTCTCCCCATTAGAATGTAAGCTCATTGCAAGTAAAGATTGTTTTATTCTTTATACTTGTATTCTCTGTAGCTAGCACATAGTAGGTGCTTAGTTAATACTGCTTGACTGATTGAAGCTGTAGTTCTTTTGCATTGGCAAGCCCTACAAGGCCCCTGACTGCCCAGGGTTTGCTTTCAGTTTGTTGAACTGGAACACAGAAAACACACACACACACACACACACACACACACACACACACACACACACACACACACACACCCCAATGTAGATTCATTCATTCTACTTTGTTAAGGAAAGGAATAAAAAAGAAAAGTTTGATGATCCAAGGAACAGTATATCAATACTAAATGAAATGAATGAATATTTGCAAAAGTATAACACATCCAGATTAGCAGAATAAGCAATGGAGAATTTAAGTATTTTAATCTTAGAAAACAAAACTGAAAAAACCCATAAATTCACAAAGAAAAATACATCAGGCCCAAATGGAATTACAAGTGAATTCTCTTAAACATTCAAAGAATAATTACTTCCAATAATACAGAAAGTATGCGACACCAAAAAGAAATATAAGAGACCTTGCCAAATTCCATTTATGATGCAAATATGGTTTTGATGCCTAAACCAGGGAGAACCAAAGCAGAGATGAAAACTGTAGATTGGTATCCCTAATGAATATGAATGCAAAGATATTGAATAAAATATTAGCAAAAAAGGCTAGGGCAACATATTAAAAAGATTATACACCACGAAGATTTTATTTATACCAGGAATGCAGAGTTGGTTCAATGTTAGGAAAATTATGAAAATAATAAACTCTATGAAAAATTGAAAACTTTAAAAATATTAGGATATCAGCAATAGATGCAAAAAAGCTTTTGATCAATTTCTGTTTAAAAAAATTAAAAACATAGGAATAATGTGATAAATAGTATCTAAAACTAAGAGCCAGTGTTATTTTTAGATTATTCCAAAAGTCTTAATGAAATTTTAAGCTATAACTTAACCTAGATAATGAAGAAACACTGGATACCTTTCCAATACAACCAGAGCTAAAGCAAAGATGTCCATTATCACCACTATTATTTAATATAGTTCTAGAGGTGTTTGCTATAGCAGTAAAACAACAAAAAAGTTAAAGGCATCATTTTTTGCAGATAATATTATTGTTTTATTTAGAGAACCCCAGAAATTCAACTAAATTGAAATAAATTCCAGTTTCTGCAATTTAGCAGGGTATAGGATAAACCCACACAAATCATCAGCTTTTCTAAATATTACTGACAAAATGCAGCAGCAAGAGATAATGTAGGGACAATTGGGTAGGTAACCCAGTGGATAGACCACTGGCCCTGGAGTCAGAAGGACCTGAGTTCAAATCTGGCCTCAGACACATAGCACTCACTAGCTGTGTGACTCTGGGCAAGTCATTTAACCCCAATTGCCTCAGAAAAAAAAAAGATAAAGTGAAAAAGTCCATTCAAAACTACTACAGAATGTGTAAAATATTTGGGAGTCCATCTATCAAGACAAACTTAAGAACTATTTGAATACAATTTCAAAACAATCTTTATAAAAATTAAGCTAAGTGGAGAAATATTATTTGCTTATAGTTGGTCTCAGGCAATATAATAAAAACTATGATACTACTTAAATTAATTGACATAGACTATCAAACCCATCAAACTATAAAAGGATTACTCTATAGCCTTGGGAGTAGGAGGAAGTAATAAAATTCATCAGAAGAAAGAAAGGTCACAAATCTTAAGATTGATCATAAAAATTGAGAAGAAAGGAGACTTAGCAGTACTTTCCACAATGTCTGGTCTATGCAGTTTCTCTTACCCCTTCTAATTATGTGTGTAAGAATATTATTTTTGTTTCATAGAATACTGTCTTTCCTCAGTAAGGAATGCAAATGCTTGCCATAGAATATATGTATATGTACATATATGTACCTTACATAGCTAGCTATATGAATAAATAAGGCCTTGTTAGGATTTGTGTGTATTAAAAGTTTATCCCCTTTCAATTATGGCATCAGAGTTAGCATTTCACATGTAGAATCCTAAAGAGGGAGGAGAACCCATAAACACTTTCTTTTTTTTTCTTTTTTTCTCTTAATATGAATTTATTTATTTTTTAGTTTTCAATATTCCCTTCCACAAGTTTTTGAGTTCCAAATTTCTCACCCTCCCCCCACCCCAAGATGGCATGCATTCTGAATACCCCTTCCCCTGGTCTGCCTTCTCTTCTATCTCTCCCCCCTCCCTTCTCTTATCCCCTTCCCCTTCTATTTTCCTGTAGAGCAGGATAGACTTCTGTACCCCATTTCCTGTATTTCTTATTTCCCAGTTGCATGTGAAAACATTTTTTTTAAAAACGTGTGTTTTTAAAACTCATAAACACTTTCACAAGGCATTTTGTTTCTCATGTGAAGAAGACAAACTAAAGTCACTCTCCTAATACTTTCCAGATAACTGGTAAATATCCAACAAGGGTTAATTATACTACACTTCTTCTTTTACTCTATAAAGGTCTCCCCTTCTTTGGCCAATAATAACTTAATTGATAAGTGTCCATCTGAGCCTAGATTGCCCCATAGCACCTGACATCATGAATGAAACCCTCCACATCCCCATTGTTAACCTATCTTAAAAAAGTAAAGGAAGCATAACACCTTGCTCTACCAACCACCATCCTGAAACCCTCCCAAAAGGAGGGGCCATTTCTGATACATGGCAGATATGGGACTTCTTCTGCACAAAAGAAGATCTGGGAAGCCATCTTTAGAGGTGTCACACTACCATAATCTAAGCAGCTGTCATACCACCAACCCAATCTACACAGATTTGCTGTCCTGCAATTGCAGTATCCCACTTCTATCTCTAGCTGACTGTAATAAATTTCCTTGTAAACACATAAGTTTTGTTCATGTTTCCTTTCCCCCTCTTTAATGAGGATTCAGGGTTACCATATAACTCCTCATTTGGAGAGGCATAAATTGGGTAGGAATCGAAATGGGTAGGAAAAACTGATCAATTCTCCTCCTTATTTTACAATTCCTTGACTTAAAAGAACCTGTTTGAATTGCCACATTGAAAGGCTCTAATTGAATGGGTATCAGGAATGGGGTGGTTTTGTGATATCTCATTCCCACTGTGAGTGCCAAAGGGCAAGTCTGGGCTCAATAGCAGGAATTTTCTCACCTCGACTTTTTGTCTGCTATTCTTCTATTCATAGCTTTAATCCAAAATCATTATTAAGTACTTTAAAGTGGGTATGAGCAGGAGCAGATTTCTGGAGATAAACTCCCAGGGACTTGTAGAAATGAAAGGGAAACCATAAACAGAGCCCCAAAATTACCAGTTAGAGTTAGACTCAAAAATCCATCTT